GCCCCCCCGGCGCCTGGAGCTCGCAGCGCCAAAGACGCGCCAGCGCGCCGCGCATGCGCAGAAAGAGCCCCGCGCGCCGGCGGCTCCCGCGCGCTCAGTGCCGGGAAGAACCGCCAAGACCGGAGATGCTTTCCCGCCTTCCCGCCTGGGGGATGCCTGAGTGAGCCTGCCCGGCTCCCACGCCCACGCTCACCACACGCTGTGAGATTTGAGACTGCGTCTCTAGTACCCCCAGGCTGGACTGGAACTCACAGCCACGCTCTGTCTCCGGCTTTCAAGTGCAGTGCGGACTTCAGTTTTCTGCAACTCATATGGCGCTGGGAGAACCAATCCTGGCAGGTTGTCCTCTGAGTTCCGCATGTGCCCAAGCACACACACAGACACAGACACACCCACACAGAGGCTTTCCAGATGGCTCAGTGAGTTCCACATGTGCCCCGAGTATACACACACACACACACACGAGCTTCCAGTACACCTGGCTTCTTTCCACTCCCTATAATGCCAGATCCAGAGGATCTGATACCCTCTGGCCTCCAAAGGCACTCATGCACACAGTGCACACACATCTTTTAAAATAAGCTATTTTGAAATTTTAACATTCTTCCGTTCTGATTCCAGAACACGTGTGTGCACACCTGTATGTGTGCAAGTGTGGGGAGACCAGCTGTTCAACACTCAGCACCTCCTATGGCTCTTCACCTATTTTATTAGACAGGGTCTTTAACTAACCCTAGCTATTGTGTGGGAGGTAGGAATCTGAAAGTGAGTTACATAGCTGTTTGTATGTCACCTGAACCATCTCCCCAGCCCTCTCATTCTGATATTTTATATTTAACACTTTTCCTTCAATAATGCAAACATTTAAAGCCAAGCTGCAGTGGTGTATGCCTTTAACCCCAACACTCAGGAGGCAGAAGCCGGCAGATCTCTGTGAATTTGAGGCCATCCTAGTATACAGAGTGAGTTCCAAGACAGCCAGGGCTACACCGAGAAACCCTGTCTCAAAAACAAAATAATGATGATGATGCAAACATTTAAAAAGAAAGGTATCAGCCTCATTTGATGGCACATATCTAAAGCCCCAGCACAGGAGAGACTGAGGCAGGAAGATTTTGAGTTTCAGGCCACGTTGGGTTACATAAAGAGACTGGCTAGAGAGATGGTTCAATAGGTAAGAATAATGGTTGCTCTGCCAGGACTCCAGTTGGATTCCCAGCACCCATATGGCAGCTCATAAGAATCTGTAACTCAAAAAAAGAAAAGAAAAAAAATCTGTAACTCCAGTTCCTGGTGTCTCCTATGTCTTACCTCTGGCCTCCTTGGGTAAACCAGGCATGTGTGTAGGACACAGACATACATGCTAGCAAAACACTCATTCACATAAAATAATATTAAATTAGAAAAAATAAAACTAATAAATAGGGCCGGCTAAGAACACAGTTCAGTGGCAAAGTGTTTACCTAGCATGTACAAAGCCTTCAGGTTGACCTCAGGTTCTGCAGATGATAAATAAATAAACCATCAAAACAAGGATAAAAAAATTACTTTTAATATCTTACGGATTTTATAACAGACATAGAATGCAATTTCTTACTTTAAAAATATTTTCAGTTCTCTTTTATTGATAATATAACTGAGATATTTATTTTATAGGTTTAAATTACCTTAAGATTGAATGGAATAATTAGCTACAGTATGGTCCAGAAATTAAAAATATACAAAAGAGCTTTATAAACAGATTTATCCCCACTCCTGGTACACTTAAAGTCACAAAGTACAGGTTCATTTTTAAAGATAATAAAAATGAAACAAATGCATCCAATTTTTACCAAGATATGACAAGAAATCTTTACAGGCAAAAAAAAAAAGAAGCAGAAATAACATTAGCAGCTTAGATTTAATGTCTTAAAAATCACATCAATTCTACAAATCACTACCTCTAAAGACAGAGGGTCTACCAGTTCTACTCCATGTGCCATGCTTACGACAACAGAGAAAAAGTGCTCTAACAAAATGATCAGACTCCTTATATTCTAAACAACCTTCTTTAAAATGTAACAACCAAAGCATGTATTATATTTACACTCAGGAGTATAACACATAAACTTACTTTACATGGAAGAACTTGTATCTCGATATAATATCTTAGAAACAATGCTTCACTTATATTCATGGTCCACTTAAATTTTCTAGTTACACATCAAGTGGTTTAAGACAAAAATCTACAATGTTAGTCTCCTTTTAATAGCAGAGATATTTCATTTTCATTATTACTACCTTTGGGAAATACAGTGGCTTTTTAAATCATGAAAATCAAAGTACCCGGTAATAGCATTTGAATAGAACCTGATTAAGTCTCTACTTTTTTAAAAACAATACTAATTTTATTGAGAAATGAAGAGAGCTGAGGATGCAGCTCAGTCGTAGGTACACCACATGCCTGGGATGTATAAGGTCCTAGATTGATCCCCCAAAAAAGAAAAATAAAAATAAAGAAAAACTTTTCAAAACAACGGAGGAAAGGATGTCCTTTTATCAACTGGAGAAGAATTCTAAGAAGAAACATAACAGGAACACTACTTTGTTGCTGGCTATGTTTCACAGAACTTGAATATTCATTTCTCATTCTGCTACAATAAACTAAGTCTGCCGATTGAAGAACACTATAAAATGACAGAGTGCTGGAGATGTAGTTCAGAGGTAGAGTGCTTATCTACCAAGATAGGCGAGAGAGACCCTGAGTTTACTCCCCAGCTCAAGGAACGGAAGGATGGAGGGGGTAACAAGCAATGTTAGAGGGCTATGGGTGTAGGCCATTGGAAGTGTGCAATCAGCATGCATGAGTTTGGTCCCCAGCACCTCACTAAAAAAGAAAAGGGTCAGGGAAGTAGCTCAGTGGTATGGTGCTTGCCTCGAACGTGCAAGGCCATGGGCTCAATCCCCCCAGCATTGAAAAAAAGAAAAAAAAATGACAATCATGATTACAGGCTGGGGATGTAGCTTTAGTGGATACAACATGTGCTTGGCATGCAAAAGGCCCTAGATTTGATTCTAGTCCCTTCCCACCTCAATAACAGTTAAGAAGTATGGTGAAACTAATGACAATCTCTTGAACTCCAATATGAACCTACCTCTCCTTCCAAACAGTACTTTCAAATAATCAACAGGTTACCATCATCAGTGTAAGATGATTTTTCAGGGTTCTAAGGTATAGTGTTTGGCATTAAAAATTACAGTTAGATCAGGCATGGTGGCACTTGCCTAGAAGAATCTCAGTACTTGGGAGTCAGAGGCAAGAAGATTGCCACAAGACTGAGGCCAGCCAGGTCTCCACAGTGAGTTCTAAGCCAGTCAGGGTTATATATCTAGATCCCATCAAAAAGAAAACAAAAACAAAATTATGCTCAGCACTTTTGATCTATGATTTAAAATCCATCAGAAAAGCCAGGCAATGGTGGGGCACACCTTTAATCCCAGCACTTGGGAGGCAGAGGCAAGCTACAGTATGGTCCTGGGAGTTCTCTGGGAGTTCGAGACCAGCCTGGTCTACAGGACAGCCTCCGAAGCCACAGAGAAACCCTGTCTTGAAAAAAAAAAAAAAAAAAAGGAAGAAAAAAAGAAAAAAAAAGAAAAAACAAACAAACAAAAAAACAAAAAGAAAACAAAAACAGAAATCAAGCATTAAAAATTAAAACCCCAGTGGTTCCTGTGACAGGGCCAACGTCCCCTTCAAGTAATGTTTCCCTCACAAGTAAGGTAACATTTATATATATTTCCTTCTGAGAATTTACTGAGGAAAACCATCATCTTTTAGTTAAGGTGGAAAAATTGCTTCATAAGTTCGTAGGTTGTGAAAGCCACAGCTTGAGAGGGAATACATCGGATGTAGTTCAGAGATAAGCCACGATACAATCCTTTCCGAATCCCATGGTGTCCATAAACATACTTCATGGTCTCCCGCATCGTACTGAAAGACAGTGATAAAATGATGTAGCAACTATTCATGAATGGAAAGACCAGACAAGCTCAGAACCCAGAAGACCTTTATTTATTGTTGGTTGGTTGGTTGGTTGGTTTCTTCAGACAGACTCTTGTTCTATGGTCTTGGCTGGCTTTGAACTGTAATCCTCTGCCTCCAAATGCTGGGGAAAAAGGACTTTGACACCAGGCCCAGCCCATAGAAGCATTTTTTTGTTTTGTTTTGTTTTGGGGTTTTTTGTTGTTCTTTGGTTGTTTTTTGAGCCAGGGTCACCACCACCACCACCACCACCACCACCACCACCACCACCACCACCACCACCACCACCAGGCCCATAGTAGCATTTTTAAAAGAGGCTTAATTGACTGTGGTTGCTCAAACCTGTAATTCTAGTACTTCAAAAGCTAAAACAGAAGTTTCAGCCACACAACAGAGAGACTTTATCTCAAAGAAAGCAATAAATATTTACATATGTTGTTATGTCAAGTTTGTGAGACCCCAAAAAAGACCACCAAGGAGCTGACTCACTGATGCAAACACATAAGGTTTAATGTTATGAGTCTCAGTAGAGACCCTGCCCAGCAAACTGGCACAGCAGCTGCAGGAAAAGAGGGTGCCTGGCCTCAATTGTAAGGGGTTTATAAAGGGAAAAACCGCAAGCAAGGTGGTACGTGCCTTGGCTGTTTAGGATTGGGTAAGAGTAGGTGACCTTTGGATTCATTGATGTGGGGTCTAGGGGAATTTCAAAATTGTTACTAATGGTTGCCCACAAGGACGGTTGTGACGAGAAGATATTATTTACCAAAATTAGTCATTGCCTGACCACCCAGATGGAGTCATTTTGACCAGAGTGGGCAGTTTGGGTGCTCCTTGGAACTGTTTATGGTTCTTTGGCTGGAGCTGAATCAGCCTTGTGCCATGAAGGGAATTTCTCAGGATGCCTTTTCCTGAGGATGGAGTTAATTCCATCCTCTCCAGTTACCTTGCTCTTACAATGTAAACACATGCACACAAATGAATGCATCCAGGCGGTACACGTCTATAAGCTTAGGAGACAGGAGAACAGTTACAGGCTGACTTTGCTAAATCAAAGTCTGAGATCTGGCCTGAAGAGTTGGCTCAGAGGTTAAGAGAACTTGCTCTTCCGGAGGACCCAGATTTGATTCCCAGCACCCACATGATACTCCACAACTATCTGTAACTCCAGTCCCAGTGGATGCAATACCCTCTTCTGACCTCAGCAGGCACCAGGAATGGACATCTGTACTTAGGTACAGGCAAAACACTGGTACACATGAAATAATAAACTAGATAAACCTTAAAAAAAAAGTGGCCTGAATGTCATACATGAAACTTTGTTTAAACTACTATCTGGAATAGTTTTTGGAAGACAAGAGTTACAGTGAGAAATGGAGTCACTCCAAAGAAAGGCAAGCATCCTACAGAGCACTTCCAGGCTCCTTAGTACTGTCTCCTGTGCTGTCTGTACCACACCTATGATGTTAACTGACAGCACTGTCCCTTCATCACACGATGGAAGCAAAGGCTGTAAGAGCTGCTCTTTCAGCTTTCACTGCTTGGTGATGCAGGACTCAAGCTTGCGGAGACCGGCATTCAAGACTGTTGGTGAGACAAGAGCCTTCTCTTCCTACTGACTTTAAAACTCACATTTCCTCAGCAGAGGGTAGTCAATGCCTATGATCACAGCATGCAGCAGGGTAGAGCAGGAGGCTGGTGCATGGTCAAGGCCAGACTTGTACTCTATATAGTAAGATCCTGTCTCAAATACCAACCGACCAACCAAGAAGCCAGTTCAAACGCTCACACCCTCATCTCACGCACTTGAAATTAAAGAAAGGAAGCTCACAGGCCAGGCAATGGTGGCATAAACCTTCAATCCCAACACTTGGGAGGCAGACACAGATGGATCTCTGTGAGTTCGAGGCCAGCTTGGTCTACAGGGTGAGTTCCAGGACAGCCAGGGCTGTTACACAAAGAAAGCCTGTCCTGGAAAAAAAAAAAAATCAAAAAAGCTGGAAGCCAATCAGATACCATCTTTAAAAATGAGAAATTAAACCAGGTGGTGGTGGCACACACCTTAATCCCAGCACTCAGAGGCAGCGGCAGAGGCAGGCAGGTCTCTCTGAGTTGGAGTCCAGCCTGATCTACAGTTAGGTCCCATATGGCCACAGGCTACAAAAAGATAACCCATCTCGGAAAAACAACAACAAAAAGATATAAATGCTTAAAAAAACAAACATTATATTTCTAAAGATTATGAACATCAGAACACTTACAGGCACTTTTCAAACTCCGGGAGGACTGTCCCTAACTGCATTCTCCGGCGGGTCACATCAAATGGGTAGCTAAAGAAACAGAAAAATTAAAGACTTAAGATAATCTCTTGTTTCCTATTTGACAACCATTGAAATCAAAATCGCATATCCACTGGGCATTCCTATTGCATGAAGATGTGTCTATGTGCTGCATCCCCTGCCTAAGGCACCTGATTAGTTTAATAAAGAGCTAAATGGCCAATAACCATGCAGGAGAGAATAGGCAGGACTTCCGGGCATAAGCAGGAACTCAGGGTTCGAAGAATCTGGTGCTGCAGAGTCATCAGGGAGACATGGAGGGATCTGGATGTGCAGAATGTAGGAGAGGTAAAAAATTCACGTGACAGAACATAGATGAAAAGAAACAAGTTAATTTAAGTTGTAAGAGCTAGTTGGGAACAAGCCTAAGCTAAAAGCCAAGGTTTCATGATTAATAATGTCTCCATGTCATTATTTGGGGGCTGATAATCCAAAGAAAGTCTGACAAAAAGACTAGCTACACATTCTAACACTTTGAGGGTGGAGGCAGGAAGATCTGAAGTTCAAAGTCATCCTCAGCTACATAACAAGTTTGAGACCAGATTTGATTACAAGAGATCCTGTGTGTATGTGTGTGTGTGTGTGGTGGGGGGGAGATTGAGCGAAAGAGAAGACAGGTTAAGCTGGGAGTCAGTTGTGAGGAAAAGGAGGTCTCACACACACACAAACACAAACACACACACACACACACACACACACACACACACACAGCAAAAACAAAAGAATGCTTGCTCCTGGTCAGAGAACCTAAGTTCAGTCTGAGCACCCATGTCAGGTGGCTCACAAATACCTGTAATGCCATCTCCAGATCTGACACCCTCTTCCGGCTTCTGTAGCTGTACCCTTATGCACAAACCCACATATATACATAATTAAAAATAAAAACAAAACCTAAACAAAACAGGGGGCTTGCTGAGCCAGCAATTTTATTTTTCCTTTGGTGAACCTTACAGTGATTCATGTACTAGCTTTTACTTACACTTACACATACAAACACACACACACACACAGAAACACACACACACACACACACACACACACACACACACACACACACTCACATACGGTGGCTCAAACTTAAGAAACTTCTTGTTGGCAAATTGATGAGAACAAATGAATCATCATATTCAAGTTATTCTCTTGCTTTTTATTCAAATGAATCCATAGGAAACTGGGAAGATTTAGATTAATGTCATCAACCATTGGCATGTAATTACCTATAATATATTTATGTTAAAGGCATATCTGAAAAAAGTATTTAATACTTATCAAAATCAAGCTATATTTTATTGTGGAGAGAGAATAAGATGACTAACAGCGTTAGGCATGACACAGAGAAATGACATCTGGAGTTGAGACACTTACGATATCGTCTGTGCTATTGCTCCAGCAACACCACCACAAAGTAGGTTGATGTGAGTTTTCAAAACTAAGACATTGGGGTTGTCAGACGAAGGTCGGCCAAGCAGGGTGGGAGCATAGGAAAGCCCAACGCTCTTCAAGGTACCAAAGGTAAAAAAGGACACACCTGAAAAGCAAAATACGAATTCACCATATCAAGAACCAAGAAAAAGACCTTCTTTACTTCATAAAGAGTTAACTGAAGGAACCAAGTATGTATTTCCTAGTCTATGATAATTGCCTTAATATCAGATATTTAATTAATATCTACAATACTAATTCAAAGACATTATAACTTATCAAAATGTTAACATTGGTTTTCTCACACTAATATACTGTGCACTAGGGCAGTAGTGAATAAAATTTCATATCATATAGGAGTTCAATTAAGCAGTATTCCAAGGTTTAAACTGAGTGAAATTTAAACTCATAATTCATACTTGGGGGACGGGGTTCTGAGACAGTCTTTCCATGTAACCCTGGCTGGTCCGGAACTCACTATGTAGACCAGGCTGGCCTTAGCCTCTCAAGGGCTGAGGTTAAAGGCATGCACCACCACATCAAGCCCATAACTTATAATTTTATATATACATGCACACAACAAATGTAATCAAAGCTGGGTGTTGGTGGTGCACACCTTTAATTCCAGCAATTGGGAGGCAGAGGCAGGTGGATCTCAGTGAGTTCAAGGCCAGCCTGGTCTACAGAGTGAGTTCTAGGACAGCCAGGATGTTACACAGAGACCCTGTCTCAAAAAACAAAACAAAACAAAAATAAAATAAAAAAATAGATGTAATAAAAAAATTAACTATAAAGACATAGAAGCCAGGCTCATTGGAATCCACCTGTCAGCCCAGCACTTGGGAGTACCAAGTAAGAAGATCAGGATTTCAAGGTCATTCTCAGCTACATAGAAAGTTCAAGGCTAGACTAGGGCACATGAGACCTTGTCTCAAAATAAATGTGAATTCATATAAAACAATACCACAGCAAAAACAACAAGAAGATACAGTATGTCTCCAACACATTGAAACTTGAAAAAGCACAAGCAAAGGAGTCAGTCTCCATGACTGAGATGTAAATATTCATGGCTGTTTAGACTTGGGAGTCCTAGCTATTGGTGAAAGATGATGTCAAATTAATTACGATGATGGCTGTAGATCTGAAATCAACTAAAAACCAATGAAATGGACACTTACAAGGACAAAATCTATTTAATTTGTTCTAGTCAAATTCTAGTCAAAACTCAAAAAAGCTGCTATTAAAAAACAATTGAATTGTTAGTCATTAAAAGACACTTTTAGGGCTGGTGAAATGGTTTAGCCATAAGAGCATATGCTGCTCTTGCAAAGGACCCAGCACCCACATGGTAACTTACAGCTGTCTGTAACCCTCTTCTGGCTTCTGAGGGCAATAGGCACACATGCAGGGTACATATACATGCACAGGCAAAACACTCATAAACATAAAATAAAAATAAATTTAAAAAGAGACAATGTACTGAGGCCAAGACTTTTTTTTTCTTTTCTTTCTTTTTTTTTTCTTCTTCTTCTTCTTTTTTTTTTTTTTCAAGACAGAGTTTCTCTGTGTAGCCCTGGCTGTCCTGGAACTCACGCTCTAGACCAGGCTGGCCTTGAACTCACAGAGATCTACCTTCCTCTGCCTGAGTGCTGGGATTAAAGGTGTGCACCACATGCCTGACCCAATTTGAATCATACCTGCATATGGAGCCATTCCTAATATAGTAGGCATCAGACCTCTGTAGAATCCAAGGAAACCACCTTCCTTTAAATGAAGAAAATTAGAAGATTATGTCATATTCATTATGATGATCATAATAAAAGCATACGATATACTAGAAACCACCCCAGGGCTCACCTGAAACACAAATATGGACTTCTCAAGATTAGTGCTGCTGTGATCATTAACAACGTCCTCCCTCCCTCCTCCACTCTTCTCTTTTTCCTGTGGTACTGGACTTGTGCAGGGTAGGCAAATGCTCGCCCACTAGTCTACGCCCCTAAACTAGTATCTTTAATTCCAAGTAAAGGAAAAGGTAGATAGCCTTCAATGTTTTCCTAAATATAAGAAGACATGCTATAAATTTGGAAAGTTGGATGAAATACCTTAGCATAAATTGTCTTGAATGCATGAATGATCCCTGAATAGGTGTGCTCTCCTTTCACCTGGAAGGCTAGACGCACCCTAACCACATCAAGAGGGTAAGTGCAGATAACTGCTGTCATGCCTGAAAAGAACAGAATCACAAATGTAAAAACAGGGACATATAGATGTACACCCACTCACACCCACTCACACATACAACAAAATAAATGCAATTCAAAATTTTTATTTTTTATTTATTTATTTTTAGTTTTTCGAGGCAGAATTTCTCTGTGGCTTTGGAGACTGTCTTGGAACTAGTTCTTGTAGACCAGGCTGGTCTTGAACTCACAGAGATCGGCCTGCTTCTGCCTCCCAAGAGCTGGGATCAAAGGTGTGCGTCACCAACGCCTGGCTAATTCAAAATTTCTTAAAGGCAGGAACAAAAAAAAAAAAATACTCTTTTTTTGGAGGGGGTTCAAGACAGAGTTTCTCTGTGTAACAGTCCTGGAACTTGCTCTGTAGACCAAACTAGCCTCAAACTCACAGAGATCCACCTGCCTCTGCCTCCTGAGTGTTGGGATTAAAGGTGTGTACCACCATTGCCTGGCTATTTTTTCCTTTTTTGACAGTATTTTGCTATATAGTCCAAGCTGGTCACCCCAAGTTTCAGTGTCCCTCATGCCTCAGCCTCTAGAATGCTAGGATTCTAGGCAGGCTTCACTATGTTGGCAAAGCTCTTGATTAAAGAACCTCAATAGAACCAGGCAGTGGTGGCACACTCCTTTTAATCCCAGCCTCCAGTATTCTGCCATAGCAACAGAGAACAGCACTACAATGCATCAGAGATTCAGAAACTAAGCCACGAAGCAAAGGACATTCCTTAGATGTTGGAGGGAGTCCAGTTCTACAGTGTGTCCCGGGGAGGTAGATGACTGCTTTGATCTTGAGCTGTAGGAAACCAAACAGACTTGTGAATACCTGGGAGCAAATGAGCATGACTGCTGAGACTGTTCCTTAGAGAAGACTGCTGGGCATAGTGGGCATATCCTCAACCTCACACTTAAGAGGAAGAGACAGGTCCATATCTCTGAGTCTGAGGATAGCCAGGGCTATTGGTAGAGACCATGTCTTTAAAAAAGAAAAACAAAAAACAAAACAAAACAAAACAGAACAAAAAACTTCCCTAATGCTCTAGAATCACAGGTGCCATCCTTATTAAAACAAAACTGTGACTACTGTTAAAAATTTGTATCAAACACAATAAGCTTTTTTTGAGAAAAAACAAAAACCAAAAAACAAAAAAACCCAAAACTGTGTGCCTTGGGATGCCTTCTGAATTGTATTTTCACAGTTCAGAAACTATGATCTCTGACTGCAGACACAGTTCAGTGAAAAGGTACTTGCCTGGCATGTTTGTAGCCTTGCGCTAGAGAGCACAGTCAGGCCACTTCCCAGAACGTACAGGTTAAAAGCACAAACCAAGACCCAGATTGTAATAGTCAAAATTTACTCAAATTCCAACTTCAAAAATCAATTCCAGCCCTGGGGAGGCAGAGGCAGGCAGGTGTCTGTGAGTCCAGGACAGCCAGAGCTACAGGCGGGGGCAGAATTCCCTTTCAAATACAAAGTATTTGGTAAACAGGTTCCAGGCTGTGGTTGTGGTACACACCTTTAATCCCAGCACTCAGGAGGTAGAGGCAGGTGGATCTCTCAGAGTTCAAGGCCAGCTTCATACACAATGTGAGTTCTAGGAAAAACAAGACTACACAGAGAAACCCTGACTCAAACAACAACAAAAAGTCAGGGGGTAGTGGTACAACACCTTCAATGTCAGCACAACTGAGGCAGAGGCAGAGGCGGAGCAAATCCCAGGATAGCCAAAGCTACACAAAGGAACCCTGTCTTTCGGGGGAGGGGAGAGACGGTCAGAGAGAGGCATACTGAACAAAACCAGTTTAAGATCTCACATACTCCAAGGACAGTCCTACAAGTCAAATGCTGGAAAGAAAAGTGCATTAAAAGAATGACTAATTCCATTAAATAATCAACATTTTTGGGGGGAGCCTCTGCCTCCTGAGTGCTGGGATTAAAGGCCTGAGTTCCCACACCAGGGCCATGATCTAGCTTTTTTGTTTTGTTTTGTTTTGTTTTGTTTTGAGACAGGGTTTCTCTGTGTAACAGTCCTGGCTGTCCTAGAACTCACTTTGTAGACCAGAGTTGAGCATGGTTGCATGTAATTCCAGCACTTGAGAGACTGAGGCAATTGAAATGTGAGTTCTAGGCTAGCCTGGGCAAAAGAACCATGCCAAGAGAGAAAGAATGTGCTTGCTGGCATTTGGGAGGCTGAGACAAGAGGATTACCAAGGCCAGAGTGAGTTATGAAGGGGAGTTTCTCTCGGGCTAGTTCAGGCCACAAACACAGAAGCAAAACAAAACCACAAGCAAATAGAACCAGAGCATATACTTGAGCTATGCTAACTAGCTAATGTACTAATTTTACATGAAGATCTTCATTTTAAAAGGGAAAACATTCAATTTCAAACTCAAGAGCATAGACAAGTCATTAGCTTAAAAAGTTTAATAACATTCCCTAAATGTTATGGAGAATTTAAATTCCAATCACAATTTTCTTTTTTTATTATTTTGGCTCTAAATTTGTTGTTGTTGTTGTTGTTTTGAGTCCATCTGAGTATGTAGTCCTGGTTGGCCAGTAAGTTTGCTGTTTAGGCCAAACTGGCTCTAACTCAGAGATCCACCTGCCTCTGCTTGCTGAATGCTGGGATTAAAGGTGTGTGCCATGACACAAACCTTAAAATTTTTTAAATTACATTTCTGTTTATGTATTTTGTGGTGGGTGTACATGTATGTGTGTGAAGACCTGGGCCGCGCTGTGCAGGTGGAGGCAAAGGACAACTGTGGAGTTGGCTTGCTCCTTTCACCACGTTACACCTGCTGAGCTCCCTCCATTTCCTCCTTTTGTTTTTGTCTTTGCTTAGCTAGTTGGCTCTGGTTTTCTAAGACAGGGTTTCTCTATATAACAGTGCTGGCTATCCTGGAACCCACTCTGGAGACCAGGCTGGCCTCGAACTCAGAGTTCAACCTGCCTTTGCCTCCCGAGTGCTGGGATTAAAGGTGTGCTCGACCACTACTTGGCTAACAATAAATATTTCTTAAAATAAAGGTTTATTTTTCTTATTTTTAATTCTGTCTGTCTGTCTGTCTGTCTGTGGGTATGTGCAAGAGAGTACAGGTGCCCAAGAAGGCCAGAGGCATCAGATCCTCCTTGAGCTGGGATACCAGAAACTGTGGACCACCTGAAGTGAAGCTAAGAACTTAACCCCTTCCCCCTGCAAGAGCAGAGATGGGACTAGAGAAATGGTGTGTTAGTTAAGAGTACATACTGCTCTTTCAGAAGACCCAGCACCCATCTTGAGCATCCCACACAGCCAGTAACTCTAGCTCCAAAGGATCTAACACCCTCTTCTGGCTTCCAGTTGTCCTCTGACTACACACACACACACACACACACACACACACACACACACACACAAATAAATACTGAAATATAGGTCAGCAAGGACTGCATAGTGAGACTGTATCTCAAAAGAATAATAACAAATCTATTTGAATAAATCTATTTTTTAAAAAAGAGTAGCAAATTCTCTTAATTGTTTAGCTATCTCTAGAGCCTCCAAAATTCAGCACTTTAATATAAATAAAACTTATCAGATGTAAAATGTACCTATTCATCTTACCTGCCATGGATCCAGCCATTAATCTGTGCACGTGACCAGAAACTCCCAGCTTTGTAGTAATGAACTAGAAACCAAAAACACTAAATTAAATGAGATTCTATTCTATGTGTTAAAATAAAGTTAGAAGAGTCAGAGAGATGGCTCAGAGGTCAACAGCATTTGCAGACAAGATGGATTCAGTTCCCACCACCCACATAGTGACTCATAACTGTCCATCACTGCAGTTCTGGGGAGGATACAGCGCCATTGCTGGCGAGCGCTCGCACACGCGCACGCGCGCGCGCGCACACACACACACACACACACACACACACACACACACACACACACACAAAGACAAAACACTTAGATACATAAAATAATCTTTTTAAAAGTTTTAAAAAATTAAGCTGGGCGTTGGTGATGCACACCTTTAATCCCAACACTCGGGAGGCAGAGGCAGGTGATCTCTGTGAGTTGGAAACCAGCCTGGTCTACAAGAGCTAGTTCCAGGACAGGTTCCAACGCTACACAGAGAAACTCTGTCTTGAGAAAAAAAAGAAAAAAAAAAAAACCCAACAAACAAAAACCGTATTTAATATATTATGAATTTATTTCTCTTTTTAAAAAAACATTTTAATTTTTATTCATTTTATTTTGTGCATATGCATGTGTGGAAGAAATCAGTTATCTACTATGTGGATCCCTGGGATTGAATTTAGGTTGCTAGGCTTGGCAAAAGTTCCCCTCGCCCTCTGAGCCACCATACTAACCCTCATTTACCTTTTTGAAGGACACTTTTGAGCTGGGCATGGTGGTATATGCTTACAACTCCAGCACTTTGGAGGAGAGGAGGGGAGATTAGGAATTCAAAGGCAGCTCTGGGTACACAGTAAACTCTAGGCTAGCCTTACATAGTAAATTCCAGACCCCCTGTCAAAACAAACAGGAAATGAAGAGATGCTCGGTTGGGAAAGTGCTTGCCACACAAGCATAACCGCCTGCACTTGATTCATAGCACCCAGGTCACCACCAGCAGGCACAAGGTCCTAGGCTCAATCCCCAGGACCAGAAAAAAATCCAGTGCAGAGCATGTAATCCCTGGCAGTGGGAGGCGGAGGCAAATGATCACACGTTCAAATCTAGCCTGTGCTTTAGATGAAGAGAGTTTCAAAACAATAGTAGATGTAAGGGCCTATAAGATGGCTCAGCAGTAGAGGCACCTGCCACCAACCCTGCCAACCTGAGTCCAAACCATCGGACCCACATGGTGGAAGGACTTCCACACGTGTTCTCTGACTTCCACATATACACCGCAGCATGTATACACTACACACCACACACACACACACACACACACACAAATGTCTGGTATTAAACATAATATTAAAAGAAATGAGAGAGAAAAATCCAACTACCGTTTTGTAATGCTCAAATGCCATGAACTGGATTGCACCATAGGGAAAGATTCGAATCATCATTGCACCATTTCCTTTATACAATCCAAGGTATCCTTCTTTTTGGGGAACAGCACGCAGTGCAGACAGTACCCCTATTTATGGGAAGAGTTTAAAGAAAAACACTATTAAAGTCATGAAAACTATCTAACTCTGAGCCAGGCATGTGGCTCACACCTGTAATCTTTCTTAACTGCTTTGTTCTCCTTTTTCTGTTAGCATGTATTTATTATTGTGTATTCGTTTGAGAATGTGTGCACACTGGTGGGCTCATGTCACTGTGCATGTGTGGAGTCAGGGGACAACTGTTAAGAGCCAGTTCTCTCCTTCCATATTTATATGGGTTCTGGGGATCAAGTCATTAGGCTTATCTGGCAAGCATTTGAATCACTGAACTCTCTTGTTGGCCCTTATTTTTGTTCTTTTTTTTTTTCTTTCTTTTTTGTTTTTGTTGTATGTTTGTGTGTGGTATGGTGTGGTATGGTATGGTATGGTAGTGTGGTGTGTGTGTGTGTGTGTGTGTGTGTGTGTGTGTGTGGTGTTGTTTTGTGACAGGGTCTCACTATGTAGCTCCATCTGGCCTGCAATTTGCAGAGATCTGCATGCCCCTGCTCTCTGAACACAGGATTAAGGGCACATGCTATCAGCTGGACCCCTGCTTTGTTCTTTTTCCTAACTGTGATCTCAGCGTAGGGAGGCTCAGGGACGAAGATGGTGGCATTCTCAAGGCCAGCCTGGGCATGTAAGTTTGAACAGTATGTCTCAACGCTCCATCCAAAGAACGTATCTAAATTCAAATTTTCATAGAAAACCCTGACAGAGAATTACATAATTTCATGAGTGTTTTGCTTTGTTTTCTTAGAGAGGTTCTCCTATAACCCAGGCTGGCCTCAAATACACTGCACAGCCAAGAATGACCTTGCGTCCTGAATCCCCCCCCCCCCCACACACACACACACACCTCTCAAGTGCTAGGATTATTAGTGTGCACCATCATTCCCGGCCACAAATGGTAATTTCTTTTTTTTTTTTAACAATTTATTTATCTTATTTTCATGTACACAACTGTTTTGCCTACATGTGTATGCATTACATGAATGACAGGTGCCCAAAAAGTTCAAAAGAGGGTGTTGATCCTGAGCCACTGTGTGGGTGCTGAGAACTGAACCTAGGTCCTCTACAAGAATAACAAATGCTTCCAACCTTTGAGCCATCTCTCCAGACCACAATGGAAGTGGTACTTTCTACATAACAGTTAAACCGCACCATTTATCTAAATCATATACATAAGCTTTACTAACACAAAACATAAGGTTTACCACCAAGATGGACATGGTAGTGCACACCTTTAATCCCAGCACTGGAAAGGCAGAGGCCAGTGAATCTGTGAGTTCAAGGCCAGCTTGATCTATGTAGTAAGTTTCAGGACAGGGCTATATAAAGAGATCCTGCACCAAAAATAAATAAATAAATAAATAAATAAATAAATAGTAGGTAAATAAATAAGTAAGCCAACAACAACAAAAAAAAACTTACCACTGCAAGAACAGCTACAAATCTTAAACAATTATGTTTACAATCATAGCAAATATTGAATGAACCAGAACCACCTAACAAGATTAACAACAGTAATAAATATACTTGAGATTCAAATATTGCACTAACGATTAGACCTATCTGAAACAAAGAGAGAATGTTCTTTAGGTTGGCCTAAAATACAAGTTTATTTCCATAAGAAAATAACAATGGCAAAGAAAAGAAAAGAACACGGAAGAAGGAAGCAGCAGGAAGAGGCATCTCTGGGTACCAGGTACTGTGGGAGAGCTGAGTGGCAGAGCTCTTGCTTAGCATGTGTGAGGCACCAGGTTCAATAATCAGCACCAAAAACAAATTTTTAAAAAGTTAGCCAGGATGAGGTAGCGAATGCCTTCAATCTCAACATTCTGGAGGCAGAGACAGGAGGATCTCTGTGTTCAAGGGCAGCCTGGTCTACAGAGTTGAGTTCCAGGACAGCCAGGGCTACACAGTAAAATGTGTCTTGAAAACCCAAAACCAAGCCGGGCGTTGGTGGCATACGCCTTTAGTCCCTGTCTTGAAAAACAAAAACAAAAAAACAAAAACAAGAAAACAAAAACAAAAAAACAAAAACAAAAACAAAACTAGGCGGATCTCTGTGAGTTCGAGACCAGCATGGTCTAAAAGTTCCAGGAGAGACTCCAAAGCCACAGAGAAACCCTGTCTTGAAAAAAAAAAAAAGCATTAACTTTAGCCGGGTGTTAGTGTCGCACACCTTTAGTCCCAGCATGTGGGAGGCAGAGGCAGGTGGATCTCTTTGAGTTCAAGGCCAGCCTGGTCTACACAGAGAGTTCCAGGACAGGCTCTAAAACAAAACAGAGAACAACAATAACAACAACAACAACAACAACAACAACAACAACAACAACAACAACAACAACAACAAAAATTTAAAAAAAAAGGGAGACATTATCAGTCCCTTACAAAGCTTGTCCCCAAACATTAATTTTATTTTACTCCTCTCTACAAGAAAACAAGTAGACAGCCAGGCAGTGGTGGCGCACGCCTTTAGTCTCAGCACTCGGGAAGCAGAGGCAGGCAGATCCCTGAGTTCCAGACCAGCCTGGTCTACAAGAGCTAGTTCCAGGATAGCCTCTAAAGCCACAGAGAAACCCTGCCTTAACCCCTGCCCCCAACAGATGATGTTTCATCCCTTTTCATCTTTAGCATATGTTCTAGCTCGTTTTTATATCATATGAGAGGGGAAAAGCTCAATTGAGAAAATGCCTTCATAAAATAAGCAGACCTGTAGGGTATATTCGGAATCAGCCATTGACAGGGGAGGACCCAGCCTGTTGTGAGAGGTGCCATCCCTGGACAGGTGATCCCTGCTTCTATAAGAAAGTAGACTGAGCAAGCTCTAAGGAGCAAGCCAGTAAACAGCACCTCTCCATGGCCTCTGCATCAGCTCCTGCCTCCAGGTTCCTGCCCTGTTTGAGTTCCTGACTTCCTTCAGCATAAGCCAAATAAACCCTTTCCTCCCCAACTAGCTTTGGGTCATGGTGTTTCATCACAGCAATAGAAACCCACACTAGGACAGCATCTGTAACTCACCTAAATGTTTGTAATGGTGGTTGTGAGCTTGTAATAAGACCTTTACTCGATCCAAAGGAGCAACTGTGGTTTTGGCACAGCACCCAGCAATACCTAAGAGAAAATGGAAAGGTCAGAAAGAATCTGGATATCATCTCTTCCTAAAGGGAAATCATCATAGGTCCAGTCAGTACCCCAACTATGGTTCAGTTTGGTCCCCATGGGTAGAGCTGTTTAGTAATAGGGTTATGTAGATGATTGGCCCCCATTGCCTGTAACTTAAAAACAAGTTCTAAGAGTATACACTAGGGCTGGAGAAATGGCTCAGAGGTTAAGAGCGCCGACTGCTCTTCCAGAGGTCCTGAGGTCAATTCCCAGCAACCACATGGTGGCTCACAACCATCCGTTATGAGATCTGGTGCGCAGATATACATGGAAGCAGAATGTTGTATATATAATAAATAAATAAAATCTTAAAAAAAGAGTATACAGCAATGCAGTATCCAGTGTCTGATAGAGTGCAAGTTACCCAACCAGGAAATTCTATTTGAGACTCTCTTCTTCTAGAATATGTTTTTCACTAAAACATCAAAACAACCATTGCCCAGGAAATTAACCATTCATTTACAATGCATCAAGTATGCATTTGGTGCCTGAACTATTGCACTGGCACATAGTATGCATGGAAGCAGAGACATGAAGTTACAGTTAGTTACTTAGATCCCTGAGATGGCAGCACACTGGTAAGGTTGGTTCTAAAATGACCAAATGGAGGACATGGTAGCACACGCCAGCCTTTGGGAGTTAAGACAAGAGAATTGCTGTGAGTTCCCTTTGCTACAGATACAGGCTTCTAGGCCAGTTTGAACTACAGAGTACGGTTATCTCAAAAAGATGAGACGGATGCTGGGCAGTGGTGGCGCATGCCTTTAATCCCAGCACTTGGGAGGCAGAAGTAGGTGGATCTCTGTGAGTTTGAGGCCAGCCTGGTCTATATAGTGAATTCCAGGACACCCAGAGTTACAGGGCTATGTACAGAGATCCTGTCTCAAGAAAAAAAGAAAGGTTGGGAGGAGGCAAGGGTGGGTGGGAGCAGGGGTGGGAGTGAGAACTGTTGTTGCAATGTAAAATGAAATAAAAAATAAAGAAATGGAAAAAAGAAAAAAAGAAAGAGGGTGGGTGGCACACACCTTTAATCCCAGCACTTGGGAGGCAGAGGCAGGTGGATATCTGTGAGTTCAAGGTCAGTCTGGTCTACAAAATAAGTTCCAGGACAACCAGAGAAACTCTGCTGTCTTGGGAAGAAAGAGAGAGAGACAGAGACAGAGACAGAGACAGAGAGACAGAGACAGACAGGCAGACAGACAGACGAAAGGAAAGGAATTTTAGTAGCCTGAGAGATGATTCAGCAGTTAAGAGAATCTCAGTTCAATAGCTGGCACCTACAAGAGAGCTCTCAACCACATAATTTCAGTACCAGGATTCTTCTGGCATCCACTAGCGCTACCTGCATATGGTGTGAAGACATACATACAGGAAAAACACCCATACACATAAAATAAACAGTTTTTCCTTTATTTTTATTTTATGTGTATGGGCTTTTACTTCAGAGTCCATGATAACAGAAGAAAAGGCGTGACTTCAACAACAGCTAGAACTCACATCCTGATCTGTAAGCAGGAGGCATAGAAAGACACACTGGCAATGGTGGGTGTCTTTTGAAACCTCAAAGCCTACCCGAAGTGACCCCCCCTCCTCCAACAAGGCCATGCTTCCTGATCCTTCCCAATCAGTTCCACCAACTCAAGGCCAAGTATTCAAGCATATGAAACTATGGGGTCATTCTCATTCAAACCGCTAAATGAACCAGCCACACTGTCCTGGGGCTTTCCAAAGGCACCCTGTCTATTTTTCTGGATCCTAGGTTAGGGTCAGCATTGAGATCACAGATATAAATACCCATCAGAAAACTGTCTGGAAGGTCTCTAAAGGGAACCCGACATACCAGGCTGCATACACTACCAAGGAGGTTGCTCTCAGCAACTATTACATACCAGATCCCCGTGAAAGGAACTGGTTGGCTAGGGCTGGTTTTAAACTCCTGATTCTTCCATTTCTGCCACCTCGATCTAGTCCTGGGTTTATAGGCATGTGCCACCATGGTCAGCACTGTTTTTGGGGTGGGTGAAGGATAGATTCTGTTTATTTATTTAAAAATTACATTCACCTGTGTTTGTGTGCATGAGAGAGAGAGAGAGAGAGAGAGAGAGAAGAGAGAGGAGAGAGAGAGAGAGAGAGAGAGAGAGAGAGAGAGAGAGTTGATCAGTGAGCGCCAGAGACTGCCTGCTCCAGTCTGCCAATGATGGGGTTACAGGCTGACACCACCATGCCCAGATTTTACATGGGTACCAGGGATCTGAACTCAGGCCCAGACTCAGGTTCTCATGTTAGTGCAGTAGGTAATGGTGGCAGGGTTTTGAAACAGGGTCTCATGTAGTCTAGTATAGGCTGGCTTCAAACTTGATATATATCTGAGGCAGATCTTCTGTTTCTACCCTTATAGTGCTGGTATTATAGGTGTGAACCCTATGCCTGACTCTAGCAGGAAAGTCTTCATATTATATTATATTTGTGTGTGTTTACAGATCAGGATGTGAGCTCCAGCTGTTGCTGAAGTGACGCCTTTGCTCAGCCATCATGGCTGAAATGAAATGAAATGAAATGAAAGCCCAACTAAACAATTTTTTTTTTGAATTGGGGCCTCACTGTGTATTCCTGGCTGTCCTGGAACTTTCTCTGTAAACCAGGCTGGCTTTGAACTCACAGATATCTACCCACCTTTGCTTCCCAAAGTTACTGGGATTAGAGTGTGCCACTATGACCAGCCAAAAGATCTTTCTTTTGTTAACACACACACACACACACACACACACACACACACACACACACTATGAACATACATATACACACACAAAAGCTAAAGTAGGCACCTAACTGGAACTCAAGGGTGTTCCAATACAAATAAGGAGATGTCTTTTTGTGTTGTTTTGAGACAGGTTTTTCTGTGTAGCCCTGAGTGTACTGGAACTGACTTTGTAGACCAGGCTGGCCTCAAACTCACATAGATTCACCTGCCTCTGCCTCCTGAGTGCTGGAACTAAGAGACGTCTTTTCAATCTGCAGAAGAAAATAATTACATTCTCAATATCACTCCAAGATATGGATATGATTTTTCCACAAGTTCTCATGATGTGGTTTTTTAAAAATTGCCAGTCATAAATAATTAAGAGATGACAACTCAATGAATTGACAGAAAGGCGTTGGTGGCTCATGCCTTTAATCCCAGTACTCGGGAGGCAGAGGCAGGCAGATCTCTGTGAGTTCAAGGGCAGCCTGATCTACAGATCGAGTTCCAGAACAGGCTCCAAAGCAATACAGAGAAACCCTGTCTCGAAAAACAAAAACAAACAAACAAACAAAAACAAATCGTTGTGAGGAGTTAGAGAAACATCTGCACACAGAAAGGAAGAGGAAATTTGAGACGTGCAAACTTTCTGGTCTTGCAGCCACAGCCACAGCCACAGTACTTCTTTTCGAGCAGTTGTTGCTTGTTTGCCACGATTCCCAGAACCAGTTTTGGTCCTAGGCAGTTTTGCACAATAACCCTAGTCATTTTAGGATGTTTTGTTTTGTTTTTCCAGACAGGGTTTCTCTGTCCTGTCACTCGCTCTGTAGACCAGGCTGGCTTCGAACTAACATAGATCAGCCAGCCTGTCTCTGCCTCCCGAGTGCTGGGGTTTAAAGGCGTGCGTTTAAGCCCCAGCACTCGGAAGGCTTAGTTTTGTTTTTGAGACATGGTTATCACTATGCATTCCTAGCTTGCCTGGAACTTGCTATGTAGACCAGGTTTATCTCAAAGATCTGCCTGCCTCTGCATACATAGGGCTCAGATTGACGGTGCGTGACAGCTCATATCCTAGTCTATTTTTAAAAGCTGGCTTCCAGAGCCGGGTAATAGTGGCACACGCCTATATAATTCCATTACTTAGAAGGTAGAGGCAGGAGAATCAGAAGTTCCAAGCCAGTTTCAACTACTTAAGGAGGCTGGGGCTACATGAAACAGTCTCTTATTCACAACCCACCTCTCTCTAACACACAACCACACACACACACACACACACACACACACACACACACACACACACCAGGAAGGGGGCGCGAACGCAAGCTGGCCTCCATCCCCAATATTTGTTTTCTAAAATCCAAACCTACACTGTCACTCGTGTTATTTGCAAAAGAAATGGGGGGGGGGCATCACGTCCCACCTAAGGGAACCTTTTCTTTTCAACCACTGGGGACAGGCGCTCGGTTCGGCATGTACCCGGGGGCCAGTGGAGGGATTAGATCCGGAGGGAGAGGCTGAGATAAACGCCCGGCTGGACGCTGCGGAAGAAGTCCCCGGTTGTCACCGCGGCTGCTGGCTCTGACCTGCGGGCGGCCCGGCCTCTCCAGCCCACCCCCTGGGTCCCGGGGGTGGGGGACACCTGCCTCCAGCCAGGAAGGAACGCAGCCAGTACAGGTCTCTGCGCGAGGCCGGACCTCCGCTGCCCGCTGCCTGCGGCACCGCGGGTGCAGGGTCGGCCGCCGCCAGGGCCGCCGCAGCCGCCATCGGGACCTGCGCCACGTCCCGAGCCTCCGCTGCCAACTTACAAAACACTGGGCAGCACCATGGCTGGAGCCGGCTCTGACAGGAGCGCAGACGCCGGGCGGGCGGGGCCCGATGATGCCCAAGGCGCTACGGCGCGCAGTGATGACGCACTGACAGCTGCGTCCCGGCCAAGACCGTCCTGGATTCGGGCGGAAGTGGGCGTCACCCAGGAGGACTTGCACGCTCAGGGTCCTGGTGTACTGGCTGAAGGTTCATGGAGAGCTGGATTTCCAAAGCTCACTAGCTCTTTAGCCAGATGAGCGCTTCGGGCCCTCAGTATCAGCACTCCCAAACCCGATGCAGTAGAATGGAGATCAGTGTCAGCTTGAGCTGCATAGCGAGACCCTATCCCCGGCCCATGCCTGTAATTCCAGCACTCAAGATTCTGAAGCAGGAAGATCACCTTCAGATCAAGGCCAGCCCAGGCATCAGACTGAGTTCCAGACTATCCAGGGCTGCAAAGAGAGACTGTTTCAAAATGAAAAGCTAGGCCAGTAAGATAGAGGCACTTGCCACTAGGCTGGACTACCTGAGTTAATCTCCAGGACCTGCTTAGTTGAAGCAGACAATTGGTTTCCCACAAGTTGTCTTCTGACCTCCACACATGCAGCATGGCATTGTGCATGTACACACACACACACACACACACACACACACACACACACACACACACACACACACACACACAGTAAGAAACGTTGAGGGCTGAAGAGATGGCACAGCAGTTAAGAGCACACTTGATCTTGCAGAGTACCTGGGTTGGGTTTCCAGCAACCACATAGTGGCTCACAAATCATGTGTAACTCAAGCTCCAGGAAATCCTGGAGTCTCTTAGAATCCCCTGGGTATGAGACAGGCATGTGGTACACATATATCCAGGTAAAGCATAAACCAAATAAATATATCTGAAATAAATACTTAAAAATAAAGTAGCCAGGGCTGGAGAGATGGCTTAGTGCTTAAGAGAACTGACTGCTCTTCCAGAGGTCTTGAGTTCAATTCCCAGCAACCACATGGTGGTTCACAACCATCTCTAGTAGGTTCTGATGCCCTTTTCTGGTATAAAGGTGCTTATGCAGGATGGACATTGGTGGCCCACACCTTTAATCCCAGCATTCAGGAGGCAGAGGCAGGTGTCCAGCTACAATACACATATTTTTAAGAAGCCATTTAGCTGATAGGATTTCTTAGTAAGAAAAAAAAAAAAAACCTTAAGTGTTCAAGTGTGAGGGCCTGAGGTCAAGTCTCCAGAACACATATGAAAACACCAGGAGGGGCTTTATATGCCTTTAATCTCTCCACTGCAAGCAGAGACAGGAATATCTCTGGAGCTCAACTGCAAGCTCTAGACCAATAAAAGCCTCTGTGTTAAGGAAATGCCTCCATAGGCATGTGATGTGGCCATGTGAACATCATCACCATTCATTATAAGAAACAAATAAATGGCTTTTCAAACAGTACAATAAATGTTAGTATGTCTTGCTATTTTAAAAAGTAGGGGGTTGACTCCTGCTTGACACAGGTTTTCCTAATTTGCCCTCTGACAGTGTGGATATAGCAATGAGAATGGCCATTGCCAGGTGGTGTTGGCAAAAGCCTTTAAGCCCAGACACTCAGAAGGCAGAGGCAGGATTTGTGAGTTTGAGGCCTGCCTGGTCAACAGAGTTCCGACAGGATAGGCAGGCTACACAGAGAAAAACTATCTTGGAAAAACAACAACCAAGAAACCAGAAAATAAATCCTTATGAAAAGAGACTTCAAGGGCTGCAGTTGCATACCGAATATACAACTCCTTACAGTGGCAATGAAGTCACCCTGGACCTGGCACCTGTATATCATTCTACCTTCATCTTCTCAATCTGACTGGACTCTTCTGGAATTATTTTCAATTGCCACAAGATCAAGAGATTAATTGGGGAGAACCTGTGACTGACCTTCAGGATGGAATAAAGATGCTCAGAATGGATATGACCTTACATTTTCTTTTTCTTTTTCTTTTGGTTTTTCAAGAAAGGTTTCTTTGTGTAGCTTTGAAACCTATCCTGGAACTCATTCTGTAGACCAGGCTTGCCTCTGAACTCACTGAGATAAACCTGCCTCTGCCTCCTGAGGGCTGGGATTAAAGTGCCACCCCTGCCCGGCTCTATTACCTTACTTTTTTGTTTACCTTCCCCTTAACCATTGTTACTTTCTTTTTTTCTCTGCTAAGCAAGCCTCTTCCTCAAAAAATAAACAAAACCTTAAATTAACACCTAAGGGTTATCCTTGACATCCCTCTCCACAATTAATTCTCCCCCTAAACCACATTGTATACATACATAAGGATGACCTTAACTCCATAGGCTAAAATGATACTCCACCACGACCATTCAACCAATTGTCTAGAAATGTCCCTTTATATAATCTTGTGATTACTCATCTTAATGTGGGTATTCTAGGGTTAATGCAAGATGAAGGAGACAAGACCATTATTAAAGCACCATCAAACTGGGGTAACTATATGGGAATACATGATTAAAAAATATTTCTCCACTGGGCAGTGGTAGCCAACACATTTATTCCCAGTACGTGGGAGTTCCAGGTCAATCTGGTCTACAAAGGGAGTTCCAGGACACGTTCAATACCTATACAGACACAACGTCCAGAGCAAATGTGTGACCCAAACTGTGCACTTAAAACTTTTAAAACTTTTCCTTTCCTGTTCAATGTGTTTAAACACCCTACCACAGAAATCCAAAACCTAGCAAAAACACAAAGCTTCCTTTCTCATCTTCCTCTGGACATACATGGCAAATTTTCTACTCTCCATTTTAGCCAAAACAAAACATTTTATTGTAATCCATGGGAAAAATCCATTTTCCAAAGAACCAAGAAAAGTTTACTAGCGGTACTCACAGACTTGACCGACTGGGCAGCCCCCTGAGCTCTTCCTGTCTTTCCCCATGTACTCTATCTTCTCAATCCATATTACTTAATGACCAATTAATGACAATCTGTACTTAAAACCTCCATATTTTCACCTCTGAATTCATTGGAGATACACATGAACATCAGTTAAAATGAAACAGCTGTCATTTATTGGCTAAAAGCCAGCTGCTAGGTGGCAGATTGTTCTTGTAACCCAGTTCTAGTGACTCAAAGATCACTCTGAAAATAGCCTGGCCTCCATACAAGTGCTGGGAAGTTAAGGTTAAAGCTTTGGTGATGGTCATCTGTACAGTAATAGAAAAATGCATGCTCCTGATTCGTCAGTTAGGCTTCCTGCATGAGGACAAGTTTCCAGGGTTGTGAGCTCCTGGGAAGAAGAACTCAAAAGGACAAGTCCTACCGAGGACCTAATAACCACCAGACTCACACTCCTGAACATCTTCATTCACCTCATGATCACCCCAAGACCTTTCCTCTGCATTGACCCAGGTCCATGGTGATGAATGGTTTTAGCAGGCAAACACGTCACCTCACCTAGTTTCCATGAGCTCCCTGATAGCAGCAACACTTGGTCCTGCCCCCAGGTGTATATAATATGGGCCTTTGTCTGTTTGATCTGTGGAAGGAATAAGATTATTCCTTATTCTTCCTAATGAGACCCAGTTTTGCAATAATGGCACAGGGGCTTTTTATTTCTTTCCTCTTTATTTTAGTCAGTTTCAACTTTAAGGAATAAGACAACTGTTACTGTCATTGGACTTGCCCCTGCTGCCACCTTCTGGCTTCTAATTCTTCCGGGAGTCAAAGGAGAGAAGACAAAATTCATTGGAACTCATTTCATCTCTCTTTCACCTTTCTATTAATATGACTGGTAATTATAAGATGGGCTCTCAGTAGAGTCTCGACTTTGAACTCCCGATCCACTGACTCTACTGGCAAAGGTCTGGGATGACACCAGGCTCCTCTTCCTCGTTGGGAGTTTTCTATAGCAACAGAGCAATGAATTTGTAAAGTTAGCTTCAGGATCCTCAGTGGTGCTGGCAAAAGATAGCCCACCACACTTCCACAATTACGTTGATTATAATGAAGGTGTACAAGAAAGTTACTTGGTGCAATTTCCTGCTCCAAAAACAGACAATTTCAACATCTGCAAATAGGGAATAAGTTACAGATAATTTATATATTAATATAACAGCTCTTGAGCAATCCCTAGGAACTTTTTTTTTTTTTTTTGGTTTTTCGAGACAGGGTTTCTCTGTGTAGCTTTGGAGCCTACCCTGGCACTCTCTCTGGAGACCAGGCTAGCCTGGAACTAACAGAAATCCACTTGCCCCTGCCTCCTGAGTGCTGGGATTAAAGGCCTGCGCCACCAACGCCTGGCATGGAACTTTTAATATCAATAAAATTTTATTAAGTTATAAATTGTGGCTGTTCACACATTTGGGATCCTGAAGCATGACAAGTCTGGACTACAGAGTGAGTTTGAGGCCAGTCTCCAACACCTGACAGCCTGTCTTAAAAACATGGGAGGTGGCTGTAAAAGGCAAGTCACTAGCTGAGATTAGAGGTGCACACCTTCCCCCCTAGAACAAGGGAAGGAGAATTGAAAGATGTCTTAGGGATCAAGCCCATCCTACCTTATATATTAATGTCCTTTAAAAAAGACATAGGTGGGCTGGAGAGATGGCTCAGAGGTTAAGAGCAAGGACTGCTCTTCCAAAGGTTCTGAGTTCAATTCCCAGAAACTACATGGTGGCTCACAACCATCCGTTATGATATCTGGTGCCCTCTTCTGATATGCAGATATATATGGAAGCAGAATGTTGTATACATAATAAATAAAATAAAATCTTTTAAAAAAAGACATAGGCAGCCAGGCAGTGGGGATACAAGCCTTTATTAGACAGAGGCAGGCAGATCTCCGAGTTTGAAGCCAGCCTGGTCTACAGAGTGAATTCCAGGACAGTCAAGGCTACAGAAAGAAACCCTGTCTCAAAAGACAAAAACAAAAATTAGGCTACTAAGGCCAGGTGAGGTGGTCCACAATATTAATCTCTGGATTTGCAAGGATGGTGGATCTGTTTCCAACACAGTGAGGTCTATATTGAAAGAAGTTTTTTACCCAACATTAAAAAACAACGTCCACTTGACCCA